TTTGGCATAGAAATTTGAAGACAAACAGGATAGCCTCGTAAGAAATTACAGAACGATGAATACTTTATACCTCTAAATTGTCAACGATTTGGATTTTCGTTAGAAGGGAAGCAGAATTCACAAAGTGCATAAATTTTCAAAAACTTCAGTTGAAGTCAAGTTTATACGGCTATGATAAGTTACTTTGTCTTCTGAAGCAAGAACGCATAGAAGGGCCGAAACGTAGGCCAGAGTTGCTGCCTATGAAAACGTTTGACTAATTCCTATCTCAGAGCTTACCTGACACTTATTTGGTTTTCTTCTTCATTGGTGTCTGTTGCAGTCTTAGTGGAGGATGGGAATTTCGTAACATTTGTGACCCTTTTACACCAAGATTGTCCTTTGCAAACCGACCTTTAATCCCTAATTTTGGAAGCGGTTGGCATAGCATTTTAATAGATATTTAAGGCAGTATAATCCTTTCATTTCTGAAGGGTTTGCAGTGGCAGAATTTGTCTAGTAAGCAGTTCAAGTTTTGTATAGTTGCAGAATTTTGCAAGTTCAGGATGTTTCTAGGAGCAAATAAGGATATTGAATTTTTGCTTGAAAATAGTGATTTGAAGTAAGTCTCTGAAAAAGTGGCAAAGAAGATTTCTCAGTTTCACTGGAAAGGAAGATTCCAGGTGCTGGAATTTTATATGAATTGTTTCAAAATAAGAAAATGACGAAAAGTGCAAGGCAAAAATGACGGTTCTTGTGAGGAATCGATTGCCCTTCAGACAACTATAAAAACAGGAAATGTAAGTTTTTGGACCAATAATGAATTTAAAAAGCGAACGTTGCAATTTACAAAAATTTGCTGATAGTTGTGAAAAAAGTAGGAACAACTGTCATTCAATTAAATAAGGATATTTTTTTGTGCCAAAGCTATTCTATTAAAGTTTTCCACGGTTTTGTTTTCTGAATGTTTTTGGCAAGAAAACTTTTCTTGTTTTTGCTAAAAAAGTTTTGCTATAAACTTTAAGAGAAGGGAAAAACAAAAGAATATTAAGTTTTTACGGGTGCTGTCAGGAATTTCAATTTTTTTCTCTTGTTCGGCACTGACTGATGTTTATGGCTCTTAATTAAGTGGAAATAAGGAAGAGCCTTTTTCACAAGTTTTTTTTTTTTTGAACTGAAAAGCATCACTGGGAGTAACATTTTTTGAGGAAATTACTTAGTTAATCTTTGTCTTTACTTCATCCAATCTTATCCTGATAATACTGAAACTTTTTTTTTGTGCTTGATTAGAGAAGCAAAAAATTAACAGGTCTTTAACGAAACTTAAAGCTTACTGCATCTAGCACACTGCCTAGACTTGTGCTAGTTTACACAAGTTCTTCTAAGATGTAGATCAATAAGCTGTATGAATTGTTAAGTGGTATTTGGGTCGACTTTCAAGAAACATTCTTTTGGAAGTCCAATATGCTTTTTAACAGAAGTTTTACAAAGATGAAGTTTTTTTTCGAAGTTTTTTGGATTTAGAACTTTTTTAAAAGATTAACTTTTATCGAAAGCTCAAAGAAATTTATAAGCGCTGGAACAGTTGTGGCTGCATTTATCGCAGTGCTTCTCGGACTATTGCAATATATCTTCTGTCTTCCGTGGCAATTTCCACCGCGATATAATGATTTTAACTTTATCTTAAATTTCAGAGATCAACAAGTTTCTGTTCAAATGCTACTTTGTACTTAGGCCGTCCTTCGCCGAAATGCGCAGTTTTTAAATTCAGTTTTGCAAATTTTTTTTATGTTTAAGTAGTTGGTACGCTCTGACACTGATTTGTAAGACGGTTGGGTTTATCCATGAAATAAACGCTATAGGTGGCGTTTCAAAATCAAGTGAGTGGCGGTAACTGGCTGAGTTTTCGATGCTGAAAGCAAAAAAGTGCGGATTGAAGTGAAGTGATAGTCAGCTTATCTAGCTTACCACTTGCATAAATAGCACTAAAGACCGTGCTGGTTAGAGATGAATTTAAAAGCATCGAGCAGAGGCAAAAAAAATTAGGTAAAGAAATGGTGGGAAGCTTCAGAAGTTGTGAAAAGCTAAATCGTTGCAAAACTTCTCTAAAATGAGAATGGAAACATAAGGCATTCTGGAGCACCATGTGGATCAGAAGAAGTTTTATGACGGGGAAATTCTATAATTGTTCTTCAAAAATATCTTCTTTGGATTATGGGAATCTTCAAAATCGATCTGACAATTCTTCATGTTGGACTTGGCTCAGAAGGTTAAACTTTTGAGAAGGGCTATCGGTGACGAGACGTTAAACAAAAGCAGTTCACTTTTTCACATAGTTTTAGACTAACAAGGCATTTTTTCAGCAGCAATCTTTAATACCTCTGTCTTTATTAGTTTTGTGTTTGTAGCACAAACAAATTGTATTCTTTTTGTCAAGGAAAACATTTGATTGTTAACTGTTGCTTTTTACTTCAATAATGACACAGCTGATTTACTCAGCTGAACCTGTGCATCAGGCATTTGATAAGTTTTTTAGATCGTTTAGCAGGTGTGCAATAGCTGTGCTTTAGAGCTTATGAAGTGACCTAAAGAAATAAATGCGTCAGACTGTACTTGGACCTTTATCTTTATTTGTAACGGAAATACAGGTGCCAATTTATGACATTTTCTGGAGACACTTTTATCCTATAAAAGTTTACAGAAAAAGGTGATTGGTGTTTAAAATAATTGCTTAGAAAAAGACTGTTTTGTATACTTGTTATTTATTCTGTACGAAACTCTTCACTATCAAAAAACTTATAGTTTGCTAGCAGACCTGAGGGTTGGTACAAAAATTCGTGATCTATTTTTAAAAAAGATTAAAAATATGTAACTTTGTTTTTTACAAACTTTAATGCTTGTATTTTTAGGAGGAATTTGCCAAATGAAGCTTTTACCTGGTCTGTTGATTTTGTTTTATGTTTCTTTAGTAGTGTTAATTTTTTATACGTTTGGGCACCTTTCTGTTTCATTGTTGGGCTTCCAAAATAAACTTTTTGGGATGAGTATAATATTGTATTTTTTTCTTGGAACTACTGTTACTGCTTTCTTGTTCCCCATTTAAAGCTTGGGAAATGCGTTCTTAAGTGAAACGTTTTATATAGCCGTTGAAAACAATTATTGAGGAGGTTCTTCGAGAAATATTTCTGTTTCATTTTTCATCTATCTTATTTTGTAAATAAAAAATAAAGAATTAGGCGCATTGAAAGCTACAGGGGTGGTTATACTGTTTGGTTGAGAAAATTCGGGTGGTATAATCGCGCAAAATCCATAAGATCCGACAGGAGAGTTTACGAAAAGTTTCATAAGTCTATTGGTATTACTGCTGGGTAATTACTGTTTTGGTGTTGTACTGGTCTTGTCAACCATTTACGTAAACTTCTTTATTTCTTAAATTATTATTTTTTTTTCAGACAAGGCCAAAAATTTGTTTTATATTATTAATATTCTTGATGAACATTACTTGACGGAGAAACTGAATTTTTATCACATTTTTGTATTCAAAGCTTTCTCTTTTTGTTGGGCTTGAGAAGTATAGCATAAATCAAGCGGTGGTTAAATTTAAATTAAATGCAATATTTAAAAAGAGCAGAACTTGGTTGGAAGATTTCTTCATTGGCATCTGAAATGCAAAAAAATTTTACTCTTAAGAAGCTAGAACCCTGACGCCAAAGTTATTTGAGCTGGTCAACTTTTAGAAACCTTTACTTTTACAATTCTGCTGTCATAATTTTTATTCCCTTCGT